ATATATATATATATATATATATATATATATATATATACATATTATATATATGTATATGTATCTATAAATTATTAAGGACCGTCGTTCTAAGACTATACGATGTAAGGACGAGATTCTTGTTGCTTGGTTTTGTAATCATGCTTGAGAAAAGCATTCGAAGAATAAAACTTGTTGTCGTAGAAAAATCATCTCCTGGTTTTTGGTCCTGAAAATCTATTCCCTGTAGTAATGTTCGTCTTGAGATGAAATATATTAATATTTATATTGATATTAATGTAATTAATTAATATTATTATTATTATATTAATTAATACAATAATATAATATGATATTAATTGATTTATATCTATTAATGTTACTTATATATTTATGTCATTATCATATTATAAATATTTGTATACAATATTATTTTGTTATTATGTTATACATTTAATAGTTAATGTATTTATAATTAATTATAATATATTACACAATATATTATAATTTATTTACATTAACAGAAGATCCAAATATTAACCATTCTTTTAAAATTAATGTTTCATTAAACTAATAAATATCTCTTTGCGGACCTTCGTGCAATTTCATATTCTTATGAATACAATTAAAGAAACAAAGTCCAAGCAGAAATTTTTATCTGCTATTAACTATCATAATAACTATTTTCAATGTGAATTATGATTTGTTAAAAATCCGCAGTCTGGTAATTTTAATTAACCAAATTAATCCTTTATATTTTAATGAAAAGTGTAATATCAAAAATTGAAAATAGGATTGGAAATCTGGTAGGTAAGTAATATATGTAGAGAAAAAAAATAGTTCTTGAAATTACATGAATTTTGTTTCATATCTGTTGCAATAGCACTTGAAATTTTTAACGTTATAACTTAACAAACTATAATAAACTATAATAAATTTATATAAACTTATAATTAATAAACTATAATAAACTATAATATAAACTATAACATATAATTGTAATATACAAATTACAATATAATATCTTTAAAATTATTTTTTAAAATTATCAAATTTTTACTCCGTAGAAAACAGTTGTTTGTTTTTACACGTTCTACAAATTAATTTAATTTCTCTATGTATATCCATTTTATTACTTTATCTATCACTTATATCTTATACTCTTACTGTTAGTAAAAGTAATATAACACTTAAATTTATAATAATTTACATCTACATGGTAATTCTAATGTAATACTTAAATCATTTAAAAGAAATACCAACAAGAAAACTAATAGAAAAAAAATAATATTAATTCGCAAGTAAATATAATAGTCTGCTTTTCAATTCTAATTTAATTCTAAATTTGCCTACTTCTAATTAAACTTTTATCTATTATAATAATTCTAATGTAATACTTAAATCACTTGAAAATAACGAAATAACGAAACTAAAAATGATATTACTTCATAAGTACATACAGTAGTCCATTTTTATTTAATTTGCATTCTATTTCTATGATTTTGATTTAATTTGCGATTTGAAAATCTAGCCTAAAAGTATGTTTAATTTTAAAACACCCTTATTGCCACGCATTGAACACAACGAAATTTTCGTATTATAATTGGTCGGTGAGCAATTACACTAACTTCAATCATACTTAAATTAATTAATATAATAAAAGTTTGTTTAATTAATGAATGTCATTCGTACTAAAAAAATTACATGGCATCGATAATATTTTAAAACAGGAAAAGCATTATCTTTTTAGAGAATAACTTCTTCACTTGCATTGTGTCTAAACTAAAGCTTTACAGTGAATTTTCATTATATATATGTACGTTTGCCTGAATTTTTTGCTTGTTCATACAGTCGAGCCTTTCGATCGTGTACCTTTAATCTATCACGGATTAAACATTTATGTGATAGCCAGCGGAGAATTCGAAATTATTTTTCTTAATTTTTTTCAATTGAACCATTTCCGAGGGAAAAACTCCATTTCAATCTGGAGCGAATATTTCATACGTAATATTCGAGATAATAAATTGGATACATTTCGTAATTAACGTCTCGTAATTTATATTTCAATTTTTCCAAACGTTTAAATTATATTTCTACTTCTGTTAAGTATACAGTATTTAATTAATTTTTGATGTAGAATTTTATCGTGTATTCTGTAGATACACGCGATAAATTGATTGTTTTTATAGTTAATTATTCTTTAGTCATTGAACGTATTGACGTATTGTACAAACTACATACAAAAACTAATATAAGCAAAAATTTAAATAATAATTTTCAACTGTTACAACTATAGAACACATTTTGTCTCGCAGACGTTTTTATTATATCATACCGTAGGCTTGTTGAAAATTTTAATCAATCAAAAGTTTTGATCCTTCAAGACATCGTGAGTATAAATTGGAAGAAGATAAAATAAGTCTTGAAGAAACATATTAATCTTTAAAATGACAAAAAATTAATTAAACATAGTATGAATCTCATAATTTTGTGACCGTTGTTTTACAAAAAACCATAGAGCAACTCTTACACTATACACAGTGACTGCCATCAATATTCGAACGCTAAATATTGAAAGTGTAAAATTTTGTAAGAAGAGGTCGTGCAATAATAAACTTGGGCTCGTTTTAAAGCTTGAGGCTTCTGCTTTCAAAATACATCATTTCCTTAATTTTCCTTTACTATCGCACATTCAGGCTTTTTATTTACCAGCCTAACAATTGATCTTTTGAAAGATAATTTCAATTAACGTTTGTTCCAAGAGTATTGAATTTGATAATTGACAAAAAGAATTATTTCCATACATTAGGATACTTCAAAGAGATACTATTAATTTGCAGTAGTATGTAGTATGTACTCTATTAATAAATTACGTAATAAATGTGACGTGTTAATATATCGCGTGAAACGTTCGGATTTTGCATTTTCTAAGTAAAAAATGAAAAAGATAGTATACTAAATCACATTGGTCAATAAAAACGTACGTGCAAGTCTTTGAAAAACTGTTTTGACTGAACTTGTTCGTTCTTCCACTTCTTTATCAGCTATTCTCATCAGGTCACAGACCTCTGCGCTTCTTCTTCTTCCTCTTTTAATATATTCTCAATTTGCGGCAAAGAATTCTTCAACCACGCTGTTACGAAATTTCCGTTCGCTTCGACAAGAGCTGCGGCATACCTTGTTCCTTTCATGCTGTCGTAGTTGATCTCCCTGAATATTTGAAGCTGCAACAATTGAACGAGAATGCACTTTTGTGACATATTAAATTAAATATCAAAAGATATACGACTAACCAAGACTTCTATCGACATTCTGTCGTTCCTTTTATGATATAGTGAAGAATAATGCGCAAAATATTTCAATTATGAATATATAGGCGTGTACAATATTTTAAATGAATTCTTTTAATATACGATGTTTCAAATAAATAGTTGCAACTTTCTCGGTGCGACGTTTGAGATAGTAAAATCACACCACAACTTAACATTTTGGTAAATGATGTTTCTCCTACATTCCTGTATTGTTGAAAAAAGGAAATGATAAGATTTTCTTAATATCAACAATTTCTTACGTCTTCTAAATCCTGTTCGGTTGTCAAACCGTTGACCATGGAGAGAACGAAGGATTTCAACACTGAATAAGATCCTGGAAACCTAAATCAGAAAAAAAAATAATTTTATTCTCTTCCTTTATACGGTGAATTTCTTTTTTCTTTTTTTTTTTTTTTCATGAAAGAATTTAAAATACCTCTGCACAATTTGCTGCCAATTTGCACGAACGAACCGGGACGCAATTTGAGCCGCGGCTGGATTTTGCGGAAATGCGTTCAAAATTATTGATATTTCGTCCTCTTGGAATCGCTCCTCGTGAAGTATTTCATTGAGGATACTGTTACCCAAAGGAAAAAGATATATAAATATACAAATATGCTTCTGTATATTAGTATATGCAAATTGTACATATATATTATGCAATGTGTCTCGAATTTAAATGTCAAAACTTTGAAAGAATATCTAGAGGACCGATGAACTAGAAAAGGATTTGCTCTATCTGGTGTCAAATTAAAAATTCGAAAACCAAGTAAGGTAGAAACCTAAATTTTTACCGTTCCTAATGATCAATGATACTAGTAAATTAAACTTACTGTTCTTTGATAGTTATTATTTAATAAATAATCACATAATATCACAGTTACTAAAGAACAAAGAATGTTATGAAGCAAAAGAAGAAAGAGCACGAGATAAAGAAGTCAAAGAAAATAATAAATATATTTATTCCAGTCAACTTTATTCGCAGAAGCTAGATTATTACCCTAATTCTAATTTTAATACAAAGTTCTTGAAAAGTAAAATTCCGCGTTAAAATATAAAATAAAATACCTTCGTGTTTAAAAAACAGTCAAATATTGGCAATTGAAAAATTCTATCAGCACCGTTCGTGATGGTAAAAGCGCGAATTCAAAAGAGAGAGAGAGAGAGAGAAAGTAAAAAGCGCTTCATTCTATTAACACGTGTAGGGATAAATGTTCAAAAAAAGCTCTTCGAAATAAAGAGGAGTATTCTTTCACGCTATCTCTACTTTCCCACTTTGACGCTTTTCTCCATTCGTTTTTAAAGAGGAGAAAGTATATATGTGCTCATTTTAAAAGCTCACTGAGCTTTTATAATGAGACCTTTTAAACTGTAGACGAAGAATACGAGATAATTGATTTATACTTAACAATGACACTACCACAAACAAACTGAAGGCGATCGAATTAAAAAATTTAAAGTTAGTACAAACATAAAATATGTAATTCTTTGTACCCTGGATATACATAAAATTCTTGAAATTAATGTTCGTTAAAATGGTAAAATGGTTTAACACTTACGATTGTAGAACCCACGGAGCTTCAAAACAGGCAAATGACGACAGCAAACGTCTCCTTTCTTCCTCGTCCTCGATGGACGTTACTTTTTCCGTGAAATAATTCCACACCTTTCGGGTACCATAACGCGCAACAGTGCAATAAAACGTTTCCCGTATGTAAAAAGGGACACTGTGACAATTTTCACTTTATTAAATCCTTGACAGATGCAAATCTTCACACATGAAGAAGTATAATTGCAGTAAATGTATAACAATAGGATAATAATATATAAAATGAAATGAATCAATATGTAAGAGTGATCATTTTCATTAAATTTAATTCGGATAAATTTAGAAAAAAGTAATTCAAGTTTTGAATTTTATATATAGAGAAAGATTCACAATGAAAGTTTCATCGGGACTTACAGTTCTTGGACTTCGTCGTCAGTCTTATCGCTTTCGAAAACGTTTCTCGTCCAATTCAAACACTCTGAATGCTCGAAGACGCATGCAAGTTTCACAGCAATCATTGTCAATGGCGAACCTTCGTCTAGCTTCGATTCTACTTCACTGTACAACGGGGATACAAATCTTACCATAAATTCCTAAAATTAAGCGAAAAAATACTATATTATGTACAATAAGAAAGAATATTACATCATCAACACACAATGAATTAACTGTTTTTCTTTATTTAAGAAAATAATTTTATGTATTATATTGTATTATAAAATTATATATATATATAAATAATTTTGTATTAATAATTATATTTTATATAAATAATTTTTTTATGTATTATATTATTCAAATCAAATTATAACTCAAAGTTTCCATTTTAATTATATTAATTCAACGTCCTGTTTATTATACGCTTACTTCCAACTCACCTGGAAATCATTGAAGACTGATTCATTGAAGAACAATTTTATATATTATAATTAAAATTATTCAAATCAAATTATAACTTAAAGTTTCAATTTTAGTTATATTGATTCAACGTCCTGTTTATTATACGTTTACTTCAACTCACCTGGAAATCATTGAAGACTGAGGTTTCATATAGGAGCCTATTTAATTTGAACATGTGCCGCATGAACGCACCCCACGGTATATAATGTCTTTCCTTCATTTGCATATATTTAATAAACTCAAACGCTGTGTCGTATTTCACGAAGCCTATTTCTGCTAAACTAAAAACATCATCTATGAGTGATGCCCTCGTCTCTGCCGGAAATGAGTCGTGATTTTCCATCAGAGCCAGCTTCAACAACATCCAATTTCTGTCATCGTAATTCACACGATAGAAACCTTGAAAAATGTAAGTAACAAAATTATTTATTCCATTATTTTGCAAAGAAATGTATCACATTATAATATATATACAATAAAAAATATGAATTTAATAAAAATAAAAGCAATAGAAAAGAATGATAAATATACGTATGAAAGTTTTAACCAGACAGGTCATAACAATTTTTGGTTTTATTTATTTCATGTATAAATATGTATTGTAATAATAATGTATTAAATGTTATAATTAAATTTACTACATACATACCAGTCTTATTCACATTGAAAAGTATCCAAGATTCATTGGAACCAATGTTATCCAAAGTAATTTTAAGTTCAGGTGGGAACCATATTTTTGAAGGAGACGACCAATTACTGTAATTATTAGTGTAACTCAATGGGATATACCAGAATTTAGTAATACTTTCTAACGGACGATCGAGTGAAAATTGTTCCTAAAACAAGTATTTAGATACAAAATATTAGCAACGAAGTTCTTTCCTTGAATGTTATTAATGTTCGAATACTTTCGTGAGCAACTACACACTTTACTTTACATTCACATATTTAAACCAGTGTAAATTCTCTTTAAAACGCATCTTTCGCTTGAACAGAATTTAATACAAATAAAATTCTACAAAATAAATTATTATTACGTAGAATTATACTTTAAGATTATTACAGAAGTATTATATTATTAAATGAAATTCTACAAATAAATTTCTATATTAATATTATAAATTTAACATCATTAGAATTGAATAAAAAAATTACAGTGTTATTTGTTGTTAATACCTGATAAATAACAGCGGATTCGTTCGCGTAATTTCTTACAACTGTTACAAGTGGATATCCACCCTGAGAAATCCAAGAATTGATCGTCTGTACCAACGAAACTCCAGGCGGAAGTTCCATTGCTCCTTCCGCCAAAATATTCATGAAATCGACAACATCCGTGCTATTATACTTCCTGATCAAATAAAAGTTCTTTTATTATATCGAAACTTGAATTAATTAATTTCTTGTTTGAAAAAAAAGACAAGACACGAAGATCATTAGTAATAATAAAATGTGTATATATTATATAAAATATAAAATATAATAATATATATCAGGTAATAAAATCTCCTTCATTAAAACGAAATTCATATTAATTTATCTGTTGCAAATTATCTTTTGCTTTTTAATGTATCATTATAATGTATTTAAATTAATACTAGAACTGGCAAAGTAATAAAAGTGACCAATTTCGTAATTTTGCATAGAAATTTTTTAGATTTTCAACTAGATGGATTTTTAATGATTTGTGTCTTTGATGGTCTCTCATAAAATGTATATATAAATAGCAGCTTTTGAGTTTTTAATTCATATTGATGTATTCTAATTTGTAATGTATTGATAAATTGGAACGCTTGAAATATTTATAATTAGTTTACAATATGTTAGAGATCCAAAAGAAGATAACGTTATTATAACAAACACAACAAGAACATATTTTCCATGAATCAATTCTTATCAAAGTTAATTAAGAATTTATGCCTGTTCAAGTAATATTTATATTTCATCGTAAGCATAAAACATTTCATCGCGGTATATATATATATATATATACCCACCACGTGGTTATCAGTTTCTGGTAGCCGTTTTTAAAGTCGCTATCACTTATCGCGCCATGCAACATGCGTATCAGACATGCACCTATAAGAAATAATTGAAAATGCAGAAACGTATTTGGCCACTCGCAATATCCTCAGATCTACATATTAGGCAGTCGCGAAGAGAATGGCACAACAGAAAATGAAAGACAGGATCGGGCAAATTTATTTAGAAATAAAGATTAAAAATAATAACGAATCGTTTCCACTAATTTACTATTTTTATTTGAAAAATAGCTCGGCTCTTTTTACTTTTTGAAAAAGCAACTTTATCCTGGATCCAAGTCAGATAAATCAGTTGCAAATAATCTTTCGTTCAAGTTAATTCGTTAAAATAAAATAATGAATAATCTCAACGAAAGACGAAGTTTATGCAATAGAATTAGCAACTATTTGGAAAATTATTTGAGGGAACTGATAGAAAATACAACATCAAATAAGAAATTATTTCATTTAATAATCAAATAATTAAATAATTTAGAGAAAGGCCATTTGCTTCTTCAAATAAACGTAGAATCATTTCAAGGTAACATCAAATCAAATAAGATGACATGTTATTTAAATAAATGCCTATGCATATGAAATTAAGCCCTTTTTTTAAATTAAAATCTTCAAACTAAGATTTCATTGGTAGGTTGATAGCTTTCTGTCGAAAAATTATTTATCATAGCTGTGAGACATGATCCTACAATCTCGGGGCCATAAAATTGACCTTAAGCTTGACATTATCAATGTTTCAAATTTTTTTTATTACATTTTAGGAGTTTTTTACGCGAAGAGTCTTTGTGCCCTTTATGATTAGGCAGATAGATCACTTTTGGCCTAAATGTACCACTGGGCATGGTCATTCCATAAAGTAATATTCATTAATAATTATTTTATGGACCTAATGATACTGGGATGTGTCCCTCACATTACTTTCATTGGCCCCAATAGTAAACGCAAGGTCAGAAGACACGTCCTTTACACGTATTTTACTTATTTCAACCGTGACAAATACTTTTTCGACATACAGCTTTTCGACTGATTTATGAACGACAGTGTATATAATAATCTTCAAAATTATTAGTCGTTTGAATACACCTTCATTATAATCGTAGCCTAACAATAAGCTAGATTATCGGTTTACCTTTCGCATGCTCGTAATCAATCAATGGCAACGGATGGTAGTTGACATTTTCGTGAAAAGGCCTTGAAATGCTATAACCATCGATCTCCATCACGTGCAGCTGAACATCAATGATGAAGGAATCGACCGGGTCCAATGACGAGTCTATCTGAAAATGGAATTTTATTACAACGGTTTACGACTCTGCGTGTCTCCTCATTTTTGAATGCAAAAATTAGTCGCTTGCCTTCTGGATGATCTCGTATTTCAGATGATCGAGCAGACTCTCGAAGATCCACGCGTTCGTTCGATTCACGTTCATAAACTCGTCGAGCCACTGCTGCCCCATCAGGGTGACCAGAACCTTCAGAGCGTTATCCTTCGTGACCCGTGGCGATTTGTCGCTGGCGTAGAACAACGACTGCCTTAAAAATTCAAGCGTTTTCAATTAGATTAGCCGGTGAAGAATTGCAGTTAAATAACGAAGATAATACGATAATATTTCAACGTTTGTGAATTATAAATTGAATTAATCTAGCGGATGCAGTAAAACTGTTTAATTTGAAATGGAATGTACTAATGACGCGTAGCATACAGGATGAGTCTCGTAACGTGACGACTCGAAATAACTCGTAAACTCTTCGTTGTACGAAAACATTTTTCGAACGAAGGGCCGCATATTTCAACTTTAGTTCTACAAAATCTATCATAAAAAGACGAGAAAGGACAAGAGCTTCGTAATGTCCTTATCACATTCATTTTGATCACTTTTGATAATTCTAGTGTTAAATAAGCAACGAAGAAGTAGCAATTGTTACATTACAACGAATACAACTACAAGAAATATAATCTACCAGTTGATACATAAATATTTTTAAATAAGCAAATGGCCAGCAAATGGCCAATGGCAATTTTTGCGTTATGACGATTACACTCGTGAAACACAGTTAACAAGGATAAGCTAATCACGTGTGATACTATCTAAGTTTTATAGATCATTATGTTTTATAGATTACAAATTGGATAAGGGACACTTCTACTGTTGATAAACAATAATGCTTACTTAATCGCAATTAATCCAGGACTTCCCACGTTCTCGTTAATCCCTGGAGGCAACCCAACCAGATCCAGCTTAGGATAGGGGTAAGACGTTAAAAACACATCCATCAGGTTAACGACAACCGAGTTCAGTTTGTCGAAGAGGTAAATCTCCTGTGAATTTCTGTTCGAATCACGCCAGAACGTTGCAACTACTTCAGTGTCCCCTACAAGTGTCGCGTTCATGGTCTCGATGTGCCCGATTATAAAAGCCAAATTGTGCGGTGAAATGGGCGGAGAATCGTCAAAAGTATCGATCACCAGTGAACTGTTCGGACTTGAAAACAGAGATTATCCCTTTCATCGGTTTCTCTATTTTAAATAAACACCTCGTGAAACAAGATGAATTAACTGCGTGATGAACATTTTAATTTAATAGAGACACGCGTATTTCATGTAAATAATAATAGACAATTGTCTTCGTTTGTTTGTTTTAAAACTAGGACTTTTTGAAGAATCAGACAAACTAGTTTTGCGGTGAGCAAATTCAGTCTGCGAAGTACAACGAATCACAAAGTGTTATCTTTGGATCTTTGCACAAATTTTTACATTTCTAAAAATATGATTAAAAGAAATAGAATCCTAGTAGAAAATTGTTTTATTTGTTAAGAAAAGTATTTTGCATATTCTGTAATTAATTTTGCATTTTAAAATTTTCTAAAGGCAGTCTGGCCACCATCAGTTTTATTTACAAGTACAGTTTTAGTTTTCCTCAGAAAGACACATCGTGAATTACTTACGCATCCCTTAAAGTCCTGAGGGGCATGTTCGAAAGAACTGTCATTTCCTTGGAACGTGCGATGGATACGGAGAACACTGACTTGTATGTCGCATCGTCGAAAACTGGGAAAAGGCATCGGGCACCGCAGTGTTTCAATCTTGTCCCCATTAACCAGCTAATAATTTTATTTGACACTTAGAGGACAATTTTATCTTAATGTAGCAGAATGCGGAATTTTATGCATATTGATATACTTTTCAAAATAGCATTTCAAAAACAGAGTCTCGATAGAGAATTCTAGTTTTTCATAGCAAATTTTATTAGTAAAGTGCCAATTTAATCTAATTAATTATTTATTTTTGTTACGCTTACATTCTTCAAATTTCTCATAAATGCATAAAAATCCGCATAAAAAGTTAGGTATAGCGAAACACGTGAAACATCATTTTTTTCAAATATTAACATGTACAGCTTTCCCGCGTCGTACATACACTAAATATAAATTATTTCACTTAATTAGTATGTAATTAATAAACAAAAATGCAAGAAACGAAACAAATAATACACAATATATAATACTTACTTTTCTCCGCCGGATGAACTATAATTTGCGAGGAAAAACGCATTGTCACTGATTGACAATTCATATTCGATTTCCAACAAATAAACTCCTTGCTGTATTTGTTTCTCTAAATGAATCGTGTGAACTTCTCTATCCTCGTCTGTGTCGTAATTAGAAATCCGTATTTGCAAAGATGCATTCTCGAAAGATTCAGGTCCGAATTGTACAGCGGCATTTACACGTGAACTATGAATTTCGCCGACTGATGCGTAATTTGTCAATGAAACCCTTGATTCTTCAATAGTAGACTTGCTGCCTGATGGATTTTCAGAACTTTTACCATGTACAACTGTCTCGTTTTCCATCAGCTCGTTAACCATGACTGCATTTTCTATGGAATTCAAAGTAATTGCAAATAAATAGAACGACTTTACATGAAGATTTTCATCATTTAACAAAGTTTTAAACCCTTCAGGGACTACATCTATGCACCATAGTGACTGTTGTGCATCTAGAAATTATTTCAACAATATTAAATCATAAATTAACACGTGACCATTATGAAATGATATTATTATTATTGATAATATACACTTTAAACCTACTCGAAAATGGTCTAAAAAAAAATGGTCTAGATGATCAAAAGGTCTAAATAATTAATATCAAACGTCACCCTGTAAGGTTAATATATGAGAATACATTAGCTCATAGTAGAAATTAATTTTCATTCGTTTAATTTAAATTAATGTACAATTTAAGTCAGAAGAGCACTCTTTTCTTTTTGTGCGAACCAAATGCTTTCGTGCACTTTTCTGGGAGTATCGCTCTTACAAGTTCAATTAGTTTATTGATCATGTCATAATTATTTCGTTATAATTATCATTGTATTGTAATGTAATTATAATTTATAATATATATGAAATCTATTCATTTAATTCAATAAATAATTAGTTTACAATTAATATACAAATATCACATTATAATTACAATTAATATTGCATATAAATGTAATATGCTATGTCGTATAATATACCAGTTATCCATTTTTAAATTAGTAACATTACCAGAAATTGTATCGTCCCATTGACCATTATGATTAATCGCATCTCTTCTTCTTCGTCTTTTTCTTAATGGTTTCTTGTTCTCTTCCAGCTGCAGCAATGTTAATTTACAATCCATCGTTGTGATATTCTTCGCGTTTAACGAGAGTCTGTTTACACCTGTCGTATCGTTTACTTGGAATTCAATGAACACGCGGCCGATCAATTTCGACGAGAGATTAACATCGATAATAATCGGCGTTAATTCCAGACGATATTTCAAGGGATGAACAAAGGGTGAAACCGTATTTTCACCAAGATCATCCGTACTCTCGATCTCATCGTTCAGCAAATCTAAAGCCTCGTAATCCTGGTAAAAACACAAATTTTCTTGAATGTTAAAAATCAAATAAGAAATTCTGATTAATTTACAGGTAGAATAGAATCGACTTTACCAACTGTTTGCTACACGATATTTGAGTTTTATTTTATATCTATGAAACACTGGTTGAAAGTTGATCGCTAAAACTCGGGACACTCTGTACAGTGTTTTTCTCTAATGTTCACTCGTAGCAAATAGGAGAAGTATATTTAATAGTGTTTAATTAATTAATATTCAATAACACGTAATTATTGAACAAAAATTTAATATGCTTTAGTATTAGTGAATTATTCTCATTACTAATTAATTTTTTAGGTATATAATTATAAATTCAGTGATCAAACGTTATTACTATAAAGTTGTAAAGAGCATTTGTAAATTCGCTAATACATGACATCGTTTGATAAGTTTGTGCGAAAGAATCTCCAATTCAAGAATGTATTTCCCTTGAAGGATGAAGCAATAAAATAATTCCATAATTTCTTTATCTTTTATTGCTTTTTACCTTTCTCTTTGGTAAGGAATTGATGTACCATCCGAGAAATCCCGCGGCAACGACACCGATAATAAACACTACGATAATCCCTGTTATCTTCGTGTACGATAAGAACCAGCCATCGGCCCTTTTACACTCGATGTCATCGCAAGTCATAAATTCCACCGGACCGCCGCTGAACTGTGGCATGCATTGAGCTGCAAGAATTATTCGAAAAATATAAATCCATTCAAAGTTGTAAAAGTATTCCGAATTCCGAGTAAAATCTAGACGTGGTCTAATCTAAACGTAGAGATTGATATATGTATATTCGTTTTATATACGATAAATTGTTGAAATGGACACTGCAAATAATTAAATTAAACCAAGGAAAGATTTCTCCTTGAGAATAATAATAATAATCTTCAATTATATTTATTAGAATATATTTGAACAATAAATTCTTTCTCTTTCACTATTTCTCTCTTTCTCTCCCATCTAATCACCACACAGAAATTTGTTTCATCTGTTAAATATTATATACAGTTAAACATTATATACTCAATATTTCGGATATTTCGCCCTTAAATATTTAGATAATTCTGTGAATTTTTAGAACCTCAAATTTTCCAAGAATTGAGCGAATATTTCAAGCCTTAAATATTAAGGCTAATTTTTTGTATTATTGGATAATTTCGAAATCACTTCATATATAGAACATTTTGATACGTCTCAAGGTCCGGATATTCTAATATTAAGTACTATAGATAATCTAATATTAAGATAATCCAATATTACTATAGATAATCTAATATTAAGTATTTAAGAAAGTGGGACTCTCGTCAATTCCAGATTATATAACTAAGGAATTTATATTCTTCCATATATCCTGAATATTTATAAGAATATTGCAACAACAGTTCGAAACGACGTTGACGTTCTCATAATCGCGACGAATTCACGTTATCATAACATTCAATGTGAACGTGACGTGACGTCACTGAAATTGATTTCTTACGGTGCACATATGTATATTTACTCCATAAATCACCGGAAACTTCATAAAATTATATGGTTAGGAGTTAGATTGAGAATCTGCATTATGAAATAAAATTAACACGTGTTCTGGTTTTATATTAGAGTCTTCCATATCTAAAACTACAGATTCACTTATCACTATGCCGTATTAGATCAATTTTCACTTAAAAATCAGGTCATTAATATCAAGTAGCATAAGGATAACCTATTCGTATGTATATCATAAAAAAAAATGTAAATATGTAAATGTAATTATAAAAAAGAAAAATCGTAACATAACTGCGAAATTTTTATTATCCGAATCAATCCAATTATTTACTAGTTTTTTTTCTCGCTATTCTTGACATGATTATTATAGTACCGCGAATTTAGTTGTAATTGTACACTGACACTTTAATATATATTTCATATTAACTTGATTGTAATACAAAAATTCAAAACAACGAATTCTTATCGATTATCTATCGAAAATATATATCGTGCATGTGATAAATTTGCTTTTACTATTTCAGTAAATAAAAAAAAAAAAAACAACGCATGACGACGATAGCCCTCGTTTGCGACAATGTGTTAGGCCAGCGAGAAGGAAAAATCCAGAGATTGAGAAAAATCTAAACGTCGTCGTTCCCGGTAACAGAGAAGAGTGTTTATGGACATCAAGGACGTATTAGAGTGGAGGAATCCGGGGATATAAAAGGAGGGTGCGTGACGTGGTAGTTGTTGCAGAGTCTACATCGTTTTGTTGTTGTTAGTCAATAAGATTAGTTGCCTAATTCCCGGTTGCATTGAGGATTTCAGCTCAACGCTTCAACCTTTGAAGTAAAAGCTAGAACCGCGGCTTCCAGACTGCAAGACTGAAAGCTCATTTTAAACAACACTAATCCTGGCACGATGTACGATTAGAATGACTTTTTGTTTTGGTAGCACACATACGACTCCAAAAAAAAAAAA